GTTCTTCCGAGGCGGGGACGGGGCCGCCTTGGGCTTGGGTGGCGGCTTCTTCTCGGGCAGGGCGACGGTGAAGGCGAGCTCGGGGGGCTGCGGCTGCCAGAAGCGGGGCAGGAAGTGCGTGGAGACGTGCTGGGGCCGGGCGCGGGGGCTGCAGCCGCGCTTGGCTTTGCCCCGCTTGTTGAGGGCCACGTACCACTGGCGGCCCGAGCGAGGGCTGCGGTGCACGGCCGAGGCGTAGGTGTTGTAGCTGTTCTCCTGGAAGCGCTCACGGAAATGGCAGTCCACCGTGAAGCGGGCCTGCGGGGACAGAGGGGACACCGCTCGCTCGCAAGGGTCGGGTGGCAGCTGTCCCCCACCCCCAGGGCTTGCTGATGGGGCTGGAAACACAGGGCACCGACACCGAGGGTTGGAACATCCTCAGTGCAGGTGCTTCAGTAGACGCTCGCCACCCGGGTTTGGGCTTTCCTGGGAAGAAAAAGGCTTGGGTTGCCCCAGTAGTGCCCTTCCCTTCTCTTCAAAAAGCATTCCAAAACCAAAGAGCAGAGCCTAGCACTCCACCTGTGTGCCCACAGCCCCGGAATCCCCATCCAAAATACCTAGGATGACATCTGTAGCTTCTGGCAGCCCCTCCAAAATGCTCTGCCATACTTGAACCTAATGGTGGGCATGGTACCTGGTGCCCTAAAAGCTTCCCCAACTCCATATCCCAGCAACACCTCCATGGAGGAGATGCTGAGCTCTCCAGCTCCAATACCAGCCACCCAGAACAAGACCCAACCCCCTGCAGGGCTTTGTAACCAGAAGAAAAGTGCTCAAAACCCCAAATTTAACTCAAGAAGTTGAGTCTTATAGCACAAGTGACAGAGCCCACAACCTGTCATGCATGTTTTGCCTCATAGCACTTGGATTTAGGTCTTCTTGAGCTTGCTGATTCTGAGGGACGTCACCTCTGTGACTCATTGCTGCCCTCCCTGTCTTTCATACACCCTCTTGGCTCCTTCCTGCATGCACAGGCCTTCACCTTCTCCAGCAGGGCTTTGCTGACCCTTGGTGCTCCCTGAAGCCCAAAATGCTCAGGCAGGACATACTATGTGCCTGGGAAGGCCTTGCCCTGGGAAGTACATCAACAGCTACCTCACCATGACCCTGTCACGATCCCCACATCCCAGCCTCTCAGCTCATCACTGCACCACTCCAGCCTGGAAAAGCCATTTTTCCCCCCTGCATAGGGCAGGGGTGGCAGCCACAGTATGTGGCTGGCATCAGACTTGCCCTGCAGAGCTCCAGAGTAGTCCTGAAGTCAATTGAATATCAAAATCCAGTTGAGCAGAGATTCGCCCTGGCGAGGAACGCGGTTTTGTGGCAGCTCCTGGGAAAGGAGAATTACCTGGGCAAATCTGTCCCCCCGGGGTCTGTGCTGGACAGGCACAACACCCCTCCCACCCGCTCCGTGCTAAAAATGGACAAACAGGAGAGCGAGGATTTACCAACGAGGAAAAAGCCATCTGTGCACGCAACTGATAATTGCCGGGATAACTGTCATTTTCTGAAGCTGGTGCCTCTAAAAATGAACCACTCGGTAATTTAATTAAGCTGGCATCAAAAAAAAAAAAAAAAAAGGGAAGAAGGAGAAGGAGGAGGAGAGCGTCTGTAAAACACCGAGCTGGGATGGAGCCGAGCCTGAGAGCGAGTTTTGAAGGAGCCCAAATTCCTGCAGGAATGAGTTTTGTCTGCGGTTCAGCGAAGCCCCCGGCCTGACTCCCATATCAAAGCGCTGCCCTGAGTGACGGGCACAGGACGTGCTTTGTACTGCTCGGAACTCATTAGGCCATGAAATAACCTCGATCCTGCCAGTGCAGGAAAGAACAACAGATGCCGGGTTTGCATTATTGGCATTGTTTAGTCCAGCAATCTTTAGATATTTGGGTCAAGTTTCTACAAATTTGCAGCTCTCACCCGAGCGGGGCATCGTGTGTCCTCACCCCTGCCCTGACCCTCCTGACTGAGGTCCCTCTCTGGCCCTGCCCTTTGTGTGTGTCAACAATTAACCGTGCGCCAACGAGGCTTGATTTAATTTCTGCCTGTGCCAGGGCATAAATCAAGGCTTCAGCTCAGATAAGAGGCCCATTGTACGCCAGAGGGGAAGGCTCTGGAGGGTCCACGCTCTGCCTGCTTCCCTCTCCTCTCCATCCTTTTCCTCTCCTTCTGCTCTGCCACTTTGCTCTCGCCTCGTGTTTTTTCCTCCATGGAACCAATCCCCTTTTCCCCTAGAACCCATTCATGCTCCTACTTGATTTCTTAAAAGAAGCAATCACGTGCTCACCCTTTAAGCATCAGTAGGCTGCAGGAGCAACACACCAAAAAGACTTAAAGGGAGAGAGAGGTGATTTCATAAGTCCCCCTGGAAGCGATCTGCAGGCTCGGGCAGTGCAAGCACATCCGTGTCATCCGCCCTGGGACCCGGAGGTTTGTCTCGGAACTGCGGGGTGGGCTACAGCCTTTTCCCTTTCCCCAGCCATCAGCCCGAGCCGGGGGCTCACTGGGAGCCATCCTCAGGGACGAGCTGCTGCCTTACAAATGCCCTTGGTGGGGTGGCACACGTACACACACCTTCCAAAGGCACCGACTTCGGTGTAAGCACAGGAGCTCACTGTGTTTTGTTTCAATGGTCTCCGAGCTGACAAGCAGAAACAGGGAAGCAACATCCCAAGGTTGAAACAAGCAGCGAAATCAGCTTATGGATTCATTCGACACAGAAAAGCTGGAAAAAGGATATCGAGACCTGCGGGAAACCTCATCCTGCAGAGCAAAGTTACCGGGATTTTTCCCCCCTAGCTGCGACACACCCGCGGCAGCCTGGACCTCACCTGCCCGAGCTTCTCCGTCTGCAAGGGCAAAGGCAGCCCGAGCCCCGGCGCTGCCGGCGCCACGCGTGCTGCTCGCCGGGAGACATTTGGCTAAACCCTTCTGCGCGATCTGCGGCAGAAGCGGCTAAAAATAACCCGGCCGTGCTCGGAGAGCTGGCTCTGCTGATGCAAACACCCGGCTGCACACCAAAAAGGCGAGCTCCTCAAGCTCACAAGCCCTCGGCAGCAAGGTGGGCTCGGGGGGCTGCAGCCCCACCTGTCCCCTCTCTCTGTCTGCGTGGCACTGCGGCTGTGCCCACACGCAGGGGTGCCACAAAGCCTTTCATACACAAGACGTACTGGTAAGGGTGGGGGGTTTACTTACACTTGCATGGAGTTTTCCTTTTTTTGACATCGCTAAAAATTTGTTGCTGAAAACTCCTCGTATTCCTACAATCCCCTGAGACACAGCAAATATTTCCAAAATACCTAGGATGACAGAAATCCCAGAATAAATCACAGTTCTTTTCACATCGGTGTGACAGAGAAAAAATAAATACAACTTAGTCTGACAGGTTTGCATTTCCTCTCCCACGTCCCTGCTCCTCAGCTGCCTGGCTCCACCCAGCTCCTCCTCCATCCCTCTGCCTCACACGGCAGCCTCCATCCACTCTGGGATGGATACAGCCTGGTGGCTGGGACTTGTGTGGATTTTTTTTTTTTTAAAGTTCCATTTTGGGGCACAATTCCTGACTGGGCCGTGGTAGAACAAGTTGACCCCTGGGGAAACCATCTACACCAGCCGGCTGGGATCGGAGTTGCCCGTGCTCATCGCACAGACGCAGAACTCGGGAAGTCAGTGTCCCACAAGCCAGCTGGGACCGGAGGCACCACTGATGCTCCCTCACACCCCGTCCTCTCAGCAGGGCTTGGGGCACTGAGCAGCCCAGCCACGGAAATAATGTGACTTTTCTGAGTGTGACCTGGGCTCCGGCCCCTGATGGGGCACGCAGGACCTGCATCTCATCTGACAGAAGAACCTCCGAGCATCCCTCAGCAGCAGCACCTCAGCTGCCCAGGTGGTGCGGGCTCACTCGGGCACATCCCCACATCCCCCAAGCCCTGCCAGCCGGGGGGCAGCACCACACCCCCGGTGCACCCCTCGCACCCCGGGGAGCCGGCCCTGCTGCCAGCTGCGGCCCCGGGGGCTCCGTGGCCCTGGCCCCAGAGGGAGGAGCCCGCAGAGCATCTCGCCGCCACAGGGCCGTGGGATTAACGTGCCGGGAGCCAAGGCGAAGCCACGTTAAATCCCCCGCGGCTGGGTATCGGATCACCACTTCCCACGTTTATTTTAAGGAGGAAGCACATCCCCCTGAGGCACCCGAGCGCCAGCACCAAGGGCCTGGGGGCACTCTGGGGGGTAAGGAGCTGCCACAGGCCACAAGCCATGAGGCTCAGCAGCCCCACAGGAGTGAGGCAGGTACCTTGTCAAACCCTGGCTGTCCTCAAGGGCACCCCAAAAACCTCCTGCCCTTTGTGGGGTGGCCCTGCCGCTGTGGCAGACACGCTCCTGTTTATTGGGGTTGCCCGGGGTCAAGCCCTATTTCCCAGAGGCCAAAGCTCAGGTTTCCCTGCCAAAAGGCATCTTCTTCCTCCTGAGGGCCTCCTCAGTGCCACAGCCCTGTCACCAGCGCATGTCCCCAGCCAGGGCTGGCTCTGCTCTGACGTGCGGAGCTGGTGTCGCTGTGGCCTTTCCGGGGGGGATATCTCAGGTTAAGGAGGAAGGAAATGCACATAATTCAGGTCTCTGTAGGACAGCTGTAGCACCAAACTTCTGCCAGCCCTTCCAAGCCCGTGTCTCCTAAAACAGCCTTGGTGTGGGGGGCCCCTTTTCCTATCCATCCTCTAAACCCCTCCAGGCCACGTTCCTGCTGTGCCCACGAAACCCCAAGCGGAGCTCCCTTGCTCTGGCATTCCTGCCCAGGGGCTGCTCTCAGCACGGTCTGGGCCCTAAATCCTTTGGTCCCAGGCAGATGTGGGGGCTGCTGCGTGAGCGCTCCCAACAGCTGAGCCTGCCAGGGCCACCTCGGGCCGAGCCCTTGGGCTCCTGAAGGGATTTTTCATCCCCACCTGCCATTTCATTCCCTCTAGCAGGATATCATGGCAACTCCGACCAGAGGATAAGCCATGAGTTAGCACAGCTTTCTCTCGGGGGAACGTCAGCCTCAGTCCTATTTTTAAACTGAATATATCCTATCACTGCACTGGGAGAATGAGAAAGCAGAGAGAGGGATGGAAAAGTCCCACAGGGAAAGGACCAAAAAGGGGCAGCATCTCCTCCCCCAGGTGCCTGTCAAGGGGCTGTGGTGGGAGTGCAGACCTCACGCTCTCACACCATCCCCACGGGCTCGCTTCCTCGGGCTGGGCGAGCCCCCGGGTGGCACATCCCGGAGGCAGACAGGCTCCCCCGGCACCCCAAACGCCCCTGCCCGGGCCCGCCGGGAGCGAGGGGCTCTGCCAGCCCCCGCGGCGGTGGGAAGAGCACAAGGACAGGGATGCTCAGCCCCGCTCGGCCGGCCCGGGCGCGGCAGCCCCCCGGACCTCCCGTTCCCCACTCACTGAGCGGACTCGCGTCGTGGGCGCCGTCCACGCGGCCGTCGGGGTGCAGCTGGAGGTGGAAGCCGATGCCCACCCGGCAGTACAGCCGGCCCCGCCGCCGATCCGGGCGGCTCCGCGGGAAGCGGCTCGGCCCCGCCGCCGCCGCCGGGGAGGAGGAAGAGGAGGAGGAGGAGGAAGACGCGGGGGCGTTGCGGCCCCGCTGCGCCCCGCCGGGCACCTGCTCTCGCCGGGCGCGGGCGGGCAGGGCGAGGAGGAGGAGGAGGAGGAGGAAGGACGGGCTCATGCTGCCGGCGGGCGGGAGGAGGGAGGGAGGGCGCCGCATCCCGCTCCGCTCCGAGCCCTGGAGGGGGGGAACCGAGCACGGGGGGAGCCGGGCCGCCCCTCCCCGCTATTTATAACCGGGCGGCGGCCCCGCACCTGTGCCCGGCCCCATGCCCCCCACCCCCCCTCCCCCCACCGTGCCCGCGGCAGATGCGGGGCTCGGGGTGCATCTATCTGAAAATTAACTTGTCCTCCTCGCCGGGACGAGGCCACGGGGCTGCAGGACCCTGGGGACAGGCTCGGGTTGCAGCCCCCCGCCTGGGGTTCGGGGGGTGACACGGCAGCTGCACGCCCAGCCCAGCCTCGGGCAGGGGGCTCGGGGCAGCCCCTGAACCGGAGAGCTGCTCGCCCTCAGTCACGGGGCCACACTCGGCCCTGGGGGATAACGGGGGGGTCCCCATCAAGGCCCCCCCAGTGGCATCTCGCGGCCTGCAGGGAAGCGGTGGTGGCCCTTTCTCGGTCCCCAACATCCTCCTTGCTTCCCGGGCAGGGGGCACACGGCCCCCAGCCTCCTGCCACCATCAGGGTGACCCACACACGTGCCAGGTGCCCCCCAGCACCAGCGGCCAAAACACAAAGACAACGAGCCCAGAGCACAGCCGCCACAGGCCATCCATCCCCCCGGCATGACTCCACGTGGATTATGCTTTCCTCAGCTCCTGGGGCCGCTCCGGGCCCTCAAAGCCGCTGGGGAAACCTCACCTCCACCAAAGCCAGCACGGCTCGAACACGCCCTGGCCAGCCCGCAGCCCCAACCCTGCCCCTCTGTGCCCTCAGCGCTCCTGCCAGCCGGGGTTGTCCCCTAAAACCCAGCCAGGAGCTGCCCCTCGGCCATCCCAGGGGTGCTCCTGGCTGGCGGGCTCATCCAGGCCACGCTCCCAGGGATCAGGTTCGGCAGGAAGGAGGCAGAGCCGGTGGCACGCCGGAGGGTGACCTTCGCCTTCCGAGGAAGCTGAAGGTCGGGGGCACAGAGAGGGACATGCACTTGAGGAGCTGTATCCAGCCTGGTTGACACCTGGCACGGGCTGGTGTGAGCAGATGATCTCACAGCATTGCTGCCATTTCAGACCATTTCTCAGCACATATCCATATCCCCCGAGCTATATGCACACGTGTTATATATAGACATGTACACATAGACAGCCCTATATATAGATGCACATACCTGGAGGAAGGTCAGGGCACTCAGACCTTGTTTACTTCTCCCAGCTGTGGTGGTTAGCCTGGCAAAAGCCATGACTTCCACTTACCCACCTCCTCTTGAATTACACACACGTGATGATTCCGAACCCACGAGGAGGATGAGGACCTGCAGGGCTTCCTAACCTCTCGAGTGGTGTTTGCCTGAGACTTCCTGTACCAGCACAGCTGAGGGAGGCACGGCCAACTTGCTGGAGGAGGATCTTGGGCATCTTGGTGTAAAGGCTGCAGCTGGTACGGGATCACAGCAGCAAAATCCCTGTTCTCCATCTGGGGCAGCAGACCAGAAACCTCTTCTGCTACTGGGAGTTAAAGATGAATGCAAAAATATTCACAGTCACCATTGTGGGGGTGACAGGGCACAGCAGCAGCCCAGGAGCAGAAAGGAGGCACCTGCATGCCCAGGCCAGAGATACACACCCTTAGAAAACTTCTGTGCCCAGAGGTTCACCATCAAGTCCAGCCTTGCCAGCTGTTGTCCACCCTCACAGTTTCCAACAGCAATTCTGGTACCACCCTGTCTGCCAGGCATCCTCTGCTCACCCATGCTGCTGTTATTCCCCTCCTGTGAAGAATTCCCAGACAACTCAAACTTCCAAGGGGGGTGGCCACCAAGAAGGCAACACCAGCCAGGTGGGCTGTAGGGAAGCGCTGCCTGCTCCAGGACGGTGTAGATGAATTGAGGCAAGAGATCTCTGCAGGCTGCTCTTGGGGTATCAGGTTTATTAGGGATGGAGACAGGTCCTGCCTCGAGCTGCCAGACGCAGCACTTGGCGAGGCTTGAGGGGATGGGGAGGGGAGAGACAAGAGGATGCTCTAGGAGAGGGGGAGTTCCAAGAGGAGGGGAAGTTCCAAAAGAGCATGTGGCCCCTCGGATCCCCTTATCAGGGGGCTTCAAGGCGGGCTGGAACAAGGCTCGGGCCAATGGAGTTACAGGCACTTGATGTTTTAGGGGAGGGATACAGATGTAGGGTGAACCGTACATTTTGGGGGGTGAGATGGAACAGACCACTCGACCCCTGGACCCATCCGTAGTCAAGGGCATTGTCCGGCTAGCAGGGAGGACTGTTCTCATCCTGGCTGTATTATTTATGAATAATTATATTTATCTATCCTCTCCAACAGTGGGCTTGGCCAGGCTGGTCCCCAGGACACACTTTTGGAAGGAATCCCAGTGCAGTGGACATTCCTGACCCTTTCTGGGCAGCCCAGTGAGGCAGCAGAGCCCTTGGTGGTTTGCTCATTGCCTGTACGCCTCTTTTCTGTGTTGTGGAACGGGACAGCTGCAGGATGGCAGTGGCAGGACAGCATCCCCCTTGTCTGTGGATTCCCCTGTCCCCCTCAGGGCAATACCCGAGCACTGTCAGCATGGAGAAATGATTCACACGAGTCCCCGTGGCACACGGAGTGTTTTCATGCCCACCGTGACACGCCAAGAGCTCACAAGCAGTGCTGTGGGCATGACCTGCATGGTTCTGGCTGCTTTCCATTTGTTCCCCTGCTTAACACACCCATTTCAAATACTCCAGGCACTCCTGTAGCACAACTAAAAAAAAAAAGCCCCAACCCAAACTCGAGGTTTAAATCTAAATAAATAAGTAGGTGTAATAGCGAACTTCCCAGAGCAATTGTGTGTAATTGCCTTCGGAAGTAGCAACCCTCACACACACACCAGCACCTTTGGAAGCCTAATGCTGATGTTATGTTATTTAAATTATTCAGGGCTCGGTTACAGGGAAAACTCAGCAAATGGAGGGGATAAGCTGTGTTTCCAGTGTAAAATTCCCCAAGTGAAGAGGAGAAGGACTCTTCCGAGCCTGTTTGATCTGCTGCAGAGCACCGGGGCTACAAGTTGCACCACAGGAGCCCTCGCCCCCTCCCAAGTGTCAGCCTGGTGCTACTCAATTGCTACTTAAAAATACACGAGGCAAAGCATGAGGAGACATGAGACCAGCCCCCAGAGCCTGGAAACAAACCCTTTGCAATGAGGATGTGCCTGGAGGAGACTCACCGCAGTCAAGGAGAGATGACTGGTCCCCAGGCCACCCTGCACGTCCCTCTGGAAGTGTCCTGCCTCCTGAAACAGGGAGATCTGCAGTTGCTTGAGGAATGGGTTACCAGGGGAATGTGCATTAAAACAGGTGAATTTAATTAGGATGATTGCCCTCCCCGTATTTAATTAAGATGATTATTACCCTCAGGTGCTGGGGGAAGCACAGGTGCAAGTGGTTAACATGCCCCATGGCACGAATGTCACCGAGTTCGCTCAGAAGCCACCTCACAAGCCAGGTTAAAGAAAGAAAAGAAATTCTAACAAGTGAAAAGCTGTATCTCTTTAAATAAAGCTCAGAGCGTGCCAGGCATTCCAGCATTCTGCAGGACAGCAGTGTATCTCACAGAAACATCCTCCCTGTGCTTTGGTTTTTGTCTTTGTTCTAAACACACTATCAACACATTCTGTACTGGGCCAGGTCTTTCCCCACTCCAAATCAGCAGGGAAAGTAGAGAGGGAACACCGTACAGCTCATGTGACTTTCAAAACCAGGGATCTACTCCAGCCTTTCCTAGACACCCACAGCTGAACGACACATTTTCACGGGCTGGGTATTGCAACGATATCCTGGTAGCAGCACAAAACACACAGATTTTAGGACAGGCTCGCTGTGAGGATGCTCAGAGGTTGCAAAAGCCTCGCTTGTACACCTCTGTCCAGACCTAAGGGAAAGAACCCACGTGGAATTCTGTACAGCCCGTGCCCACGCTGACGAGCAGTTCAGGTGCCCGGTGCTAATCCATTCCCAACCCTGCTGCCATGTGGAGCCACAGGCACAGCTCCTGCAGGAGCTTTTGCAGGATGGGATCAGGCCCCGAGGCAGGCAGCTACCCCCAGCTCCAGCCCAAAGGTGCACAGCCTGTGGGTCTGCTGCCCATGGCTGCTGTGGGTGCAAAGCTACCTTCTGCCCCCCCAGAAACATCATTATTACCAGGATTTGGTGGAATTATTATCATTGCTATGATTTGCAGCGTGGCCCAGCTACAGGGAAGATGGAGCAGTCTAAGTGCTGCAGGGCACAGGGAAGGGGCTCCCCAAATCTGAAGGTTGCTTGTTCTTGTTCCCAGCTCTTACTTGCTGTTCTGCAGCACATCGAAGAGGCTCCTTGTGGGTGGGTTTCAAAGGCAGATGCATCTGTGGGCTCTGGCACAGCCTTACAGGGGCAGCTCTGTCCCAGAGGAATGCCCAGGTGGTGCCCCAGCTCGGAACTTTATGGGCTGTGCTGTCGGGTGGGGACCTTGCATGGAGGAAAGCCAGCTGGTGCCACAGCCCAGCCAGCTTCTGTGCTCTGCAGAGACACAGCATCAACCACGGACAGGGAAAGGCATTTAAAGGGGGGGGGAAAAAGGGGGAAAAAAATTCTCTTCCTGTTTCCCAAGCAGCAGAAATATTGACAAAGGAGCAGTATGTGGCAATGGTACCCATGCTGACCTGAGGAGAGCCAGCATGGCTCTGGGGAATGAGGGACCTGCTGTGGCCAAGCCCTGATCCCAAATGGCCCAAGGGGAACTTCTGTGAATCCTCTCCACACAGCACCCACCTCCACTGGATCAGGGGCACTGCCTGCCCTTATTATAGCATGTTCTGCTTCTGCAGGAAGCGTTACTTGGAATTTGATTTATCACTTTGGAGTTCGATATCCGATGTCACCAAAACAAAGTCTTAGATTAAATTTCCTAGTCGGTAGATTTTTTGTACTTTTAGACAGAAACAGTGTGAGCTTTGTGTGGCAGTAACAATGCAGGCAC